AAAATTTGTGTGTTGGGCTGGAGAGATGGCTCAGCAGTTAAGAGCACTGGCTGCTCTTGCAAAGGACCCAAGTTCAATTCCAGCACCCACATGGCAGCTAACAACCATCCATAACTCCAGTTCGAGGGGATCCAACACCCTCTTCTCACTTCTGTGGGCATTTGTACAATGCAGGTGTTCATGCAGGTAATATGCTCATACATATGAAATAAAATAATAAAAATTTAGAAAAAGTTGTATATGTTGGTGCATATATATGCATGAGGGTATGCACATGGGGAGCCAGAGGTCAACATTAAGTGTTTTCCTCTATCACTATTCACCTTGTTTTTTGAGACAGGGTCTCTCACTGATCTTGAAGTTCACAGAGTTTATTCTGTCTATTAGAGAGCTCCATGGATCTGCCTGTCTCTGCCCCACCATGCTTGGCTTTTACTTAGGTTCTGGGGAATCACATTTGTGCTGCACACACTTTACTGATAGCTATCTCCCCAGCCCTACACCTTTATTTATTTTTATTTATTATCATCATTATTATTTTATTTTATGTGTATGCGTGTATTGCCTGCATGTAGGTAAGTGCATCTGCATGTAGGTAAGTGCAATGCCCGCGGAGGTCAGAAGAGGCTGTTGGATCCCCTGGGACTGTAGTTACAGACAGTTGTTAGCTGCCATGTGGGTGCTGGGATTCGAACCTGGGTCTTCTGCAAGAATGACCAGTGTTCTTAACCACTGAGCCATCTCTCCAGCCCGATTTGTTTATTTTTAAGATTATTTTTATTTTATGTGCATGAGTGTCTTGTCTGCATGTATGTTATGTGCATGTAGTACCTGTCAAGGCCAGAAGAGGGTGTCAGAACACCTGCAACTGAAGTTACAGATGGTTATGAGAGCTGCCATGTGAGTCCTGGAAACTAAACTTGGTCCTCTGTCAGAGCAGGCAGTGCTCTTAACTGCTGGGGCACCTCTCCAGCACCTACACCTTGTTTATTGAGACATGGCTTCTCACTGAACCTGGAGCTCCCTGATTTAGCTAGGCTGACTTGCTAGCAAGCCCCAAGGATCCTCCTGTCTCTAATTCTTCAGTGCTGGGATTAAAGGGACACATTGCTGTGTCTGGTTTTTTTACATGAGTGCTGGAGATCTGTGCTTGTATGGCAAGTACTTTACTGACTAACCCACCTCTCCAGTTCCAATATTTTTGAAACTCTGTGGACAAAAATTTGGGAACAGGGAGCAGCCTTTGTGCTGAATCTATGTCCTCTACTTTGGAATATTTCAAGCAAAGCTGGTTTCTGGAATCTATCATGGGACATGGGATATCATTAATAATTATGCTGGGGGTGGGGTTGGAGAGATGACTTGGTAGTTAAGAGCACTGGCTGCTCTTGTAGAGGACCTGGGCTCTGTTCCCAGCACCTACATGGCAGCTAACAGCTGTTTATAACTCCAGTTTCAGGGAATCAGACACCTTCTTCTGGCCTCCATGGACACTGCACAACATAGGTGCACTTACATACATGCAGGCACTCATGTATGCATGAAACATACATAAATATTAATTAATCAATTAATTATGCTGTGACAACAGGAGTAAACAGGATGACCTTGACAAGGCTGGATGATGGTGACACTGCTTCAGAGACTGATACATATCCTGAATTTATTTTTGCCTGTGTCTGTCTTTGTTTCCCCTGTCTAATTGTAGAGGAGCTATCATAGATACACAAAATATCTAGATAAAGATCAAGGCAAACCTGGGACAAGGTCTGTTCCCAAGACCCTGTGGAGGCCAAGTACTGCCTCCCCCGGTAGCCCCACCCTGCCCTCCATCTTTCTATCTATGGCACAGAAGTTCCCCAGATGAGTCAGGAAGAGACCCAGGAAGGTCAGAACCCCATCCCTCCCTGCAGGTTGCAGCAGATTGACAGCTGACCTTGTCCTTGTACTCTTTGGGGTCCATCTTCTGTACCATAGCCACTGCCTGTTCCATCAGAGCCTCCAGAGCCTCATTGGTCAGCTCTCGATGCAGCTCCCGACTGCCCTCTGTCGCCACAAAGGAGTACACACTCTGATCAGTACGAGCCCTGCCCTGAGCCTGGAAAGGATCACAAAGGTGAGGCAGAAGTAAACTGGGATCTACATAGGACCTTTCTAGGGCTGGTGTGGGGGGTGGGGGGGGTGGGGGGGAGTAGGCTTTGAGTACCTGCACCATGGAGATTTCATTGGTCAGGAGCCCATAGCGCACCACCACATTGCACTGGGCGATGTCCAACCCCTCCTCTGCCACGCTTGTGGCCACCAGAAGGTTCAGGATGCCAGCCCGAAACTCCTGGATCACTTCTTGTTGGTCTTTCTGATGGAGGATGCAGGGAGGAAGAGAAGGTTGGTGGGAACCCAGAGTCTAAGACCCTGCCAATCTTCCCAAGTGAGTTCTGATCCTTAGCTCCTGAGGGTTCTTTCTCTTCTTTCCTTCCTTCCACTTTTCCTTCTTTTCTTTGTTCATTTTTTTCTTTCATCCTCCCTTTCTAAAAAATGTTTATTTATCTATTTATTTATTTGGTCTTTTTGAGACAGAGTCTCCCTGTAGCCCCAGCTGGCCTCAAACTCACAGAGTGCTGGGATTAAAGGCATGTATCACCACATCCAGCTTCTTTTTTTTTTTTTTTTTTTTTTAAATAAGACAGATTCTCATGAATCGCAGGCTGGCCTGGTACTTGATCTTTAGCCAAGGATGACTTTGAACTTCTGTTTCGATTCTACTTCCTATGCCTTCTGAATGCTTGGCTTATAAGCGTGCCCCACCACACCTGGTTTATGGTTCTGCGCATGCTAGGCATTCTACCCACTGAGCTGTTACAGCTGCATCCTCTTCCCTAGGACTTCTAAAGATCCCTGGTCTTATACCCTAGGCTCTGTTCTCTCACAAGGGACCTCCATCCCTGATCCTTTGCCCTGAGAAACCACACCACTCCCTCTCTTCCCCACATGTTCCCAGGCCCCTGCCCCTCCATCCCCTGTGACCCTCAGGCTAAGAAGAACTTCATCATGGGGGGTCCAGTGTTTGCCCCAGCTCTCTCACTTCTTGCCTAGGGATTCAATCTCCCTCTTCCCCAGAGTCTCTCTGCCACCACTGTGTCCTGACAATCCTGTCCCCACTTCTCCCCTATGTAATTCTTCCAGTCCTAAGCACACACCTGTGTCATGTGGGTGCTCCGGCTGGTGCTCCCTGCCCCAATCAGCAGTTGGGCCTTTATGTTCATAGTCTGTAGGCCAGGCTGCTGTTGGAGCCAGAGCAGGAGGGAGTGAGCACTCTGGCGAGTTTGGGTGAAGATGATGCCCCGGGGTTGCCTGGGACCCCCAAATTGCTTCAGCAAGATCCCTTCCAACATCTCCAGCTTTGGGTTTTCAGGGCTGTGAGCTGCTAAGTGGATCAGCATATTCCGATGGCCTAAGGAGAATCCCAAAAGAGGTAGACACACAGGGCTCAGGCCTGGGTGTAGACAGGACACCAAGGGAGGGTGCTCACAGGGACAGGGCTACAGGAGGGGAGGACACCTGCTTCTGCTCACTTCCTAAGCTGCTCCAAGAGCACACTTAGGGACACACCTGCCACTCAGGCCAGCCTTACAAGAGGAATTCAGTACAGAATCCTTCCCTCACATAACACTCCCCCCCCTCAAACTTGCTACCAGGATGACCTTGGAGTGGAGCCTTGGGTTTGTTTTGTTTTCTTTGAGACAGGGATCTCATGTAGCCCAGGCTGATCTCAAACTTACTCTGTAGCCAAAATGACTTGGACCTTCTGATCCTCCTGCCTCACACATGTGACACTATAGTTTAATGTGGGGGATTGAACCCAGGACTTTGTGCATGGTAGTAAGTGCTCTATGAACTGAGCTACATGCTCAGGCCCATCCTTGAGCTTTTCATGCTGATCTCTGTTGCCAAGATGGCTTCCAGCCTTAAATTTCACTTGTTTAGTTTCACTTTTCAAGCCTAAAGGAGCCTAAAAGAACCACCCACCAGATTTTCCTGGACCACCCCAGCTACTTTTTTTTTTTTTTCTGTTGTTGTTGTTGTTGTTGTTGTGTGTGTGTGTGTGTGTGTAGGCCAGAGTTCAATGTCAGGTGTCTTCTATCACTTTCCACCTTTTAAAAAAAGTATTTTTAGCTGGGTGTGGTGTCGTACACCTTTGATCCCAGCACTGGGGAGGCAGAGGCAGGTGGATTTCTCTGAGTTCAAGGCCAGCCTGGTCTACATAGCAAGTTCCAGGACAGGTAGGGCTACAAGGAGACCCTGTCTCAAAAAGACAAAAAATATTTTTATTTATTATATTTATTTTCTATGTGTAAGTGTATTGCCTGCATGTATGTAAGTGCACCCATGTTGTGCAATGCCTCCAGAGGTCAAAAGAGGGCACTGATCCCCTGGAACTGAAATTACAGATGGTTTGTTAGTATCCATGTGGGTGCTGGGAATCAAACCCTAGTCCTCTGCAAGAGCAGTCAGTGCTCTTAACTGCTGAGCCATCTCTCCAGCCCCACTTCCCACCTTTTAGAGAATTTTATTTATTATCTTTCCACACTTATGCGGATTCAATTCAGGAGATCAAACTCATGTCTCCAGGCTTGTACAGCAAGAGCAACTGCCCATTGAGCCACCTCACTGGGCCCTCTACCTTATTTTTTGAGACAGAGTCTCTCACTGAAACTGGGATTCACTAATTCAGCAAGACCAGTTGTCCTTTCAGCCCCAGGGATCCTATTTCTGCCTCCTGCTGAGGAAGCAGATATGCTGTGCCTGGCTTTTTAAAATGTGAGTACTGCCAGGTGTGGTGGCCCACGCCTCTACGTAGTCCCAGCACCTGGGAGGCAGAGGCAGGCAGATCTCTGTAAGTTCAAGGCCAGCCTGGTCTACATAGTGAGTTCCAGGACAGCTGGGGCTACAGGGAGACCCTGTCTCAAAAAGACAAAAAAAAAAAAAAAGTGAGTACTTGGGATTTGAATTTGGGTTCTCATACTTGCACACCCCTAAGTATCTTTATTGGGGGCTGGCAAGATAGCTTAGCAGGTAGAGGCACTTGCTGCTAAGCCTGACAACCTAAGTACAATCCCTGGAACCTGCATGCTAGAGGAGAGAACCAACTCCTGCAAGTTGTCCTCTGACCTCCCTATGTGTGTCGCTGTAGCACACACACACACACTCTTTCCCTACAAAATAAATGTAATAAAAAATATCTTTGTCAATAATATGAATTAGTTTTTACAACTCTGCAAACAGTCAAACATGAAAAAGCAAATCTGTCACACCAACGGTCTTAGATTTTGGTTAGGAAAATAGAGTTCCAGGTCCCTTTCTTGTACTTCCAGCCGTAATTGACCTTGAGCCCTCAAGCTGTTAGGACAGCTGTGCCTCACCATCGAACAGTTCCAACAGCCAGCGCTCAGCACACAGCACTTGCGTTTTAGTAGCCTGCTCCCTGTTGTAGAAATCTTGCAGCACGTCCAGAGCGTCGCATGCACGTACAGTGTCATGGATGAGCAGAGCGTCATTGTAGCGCCGCAGGTGTAGCGCATATACCCGCAGCTGCCGGAGCCCCGCCTCTGCGGCTGCAGGCAAAAGGCGCAGGGTCTGCGATGTGAAGGCTCTATAGGTCCCTCCCAATCTAGACTGTGCTCCACCCCTAACAGTTCCACCGCCAAGCCCACTAAGAGTGGATAAGCCCCGCCTTTAAGGGTTCCGCCCAGACAGGCCCCCAATACATGCTCCGCCCTCAAAGGCTCCGCCCAGGAGGGCCCCGCCCAAGCTGCCCTCTCACCAGCCTTGCTCAGCTCCACCACTTGCTGCTCGTACATCTGTGTCCCAAATTGCTGGCTTAGCTCGGGCATTTCAAGTTGCTGATGGATTTGGTTCATAAGCTTCTTTAGAAAGTCTCCAAATGGGTCCTGAGCAAGGAGTGAGGGTGTGAGGGAATTCCCATACACACGGGGCGGGGAAGAGGGGAGAAGAGGGTTTGGGGGAGGCAGGGCAGGCACATTTTATCTAAGAGATGAGAAGTTCAGAAGGCTGACTCCTGGAAATGGGAAGTACTGGCTGAAGCCAGTTCCTGCTGTCTCACCCACTGCATGCCCTGCCCTGTAGCCTGGGCATAGTGATGTCTAGTCTTGGCTTAGCCCTGTCACTACAGACACCAGCCAGTGTCACTACTGGAGGAGAGAATTGGTCCAGCCTCGGCATCTGAGTCAATCCAAACAGCAGGCAGGGGCTGCATCTGCCCCAAAGCACAGAATGAACAAATGGAGGTGCAGAACCACAAGCAAGGGACCTGGGGCGACAGCAAGGGAAGGTGGTACCAAGGCAGCAGCCCAGGTTCCCTAACTCCACACTCCCCCACCCCTACCCGCCCCAGGGACCCGCCCCCACGCACCTGGATGCGCTTTTCACAGACATCGTACTGCTTGCAGGGCTTTGGGTTGTGCTTCTGCAGCTGGGAGCGGTAGGTCTCAGGTGACATGATGCGCCACGTATCCAAGTTGGCACAGAGCTGGGGGAACAAAGAGGCTTCACCAGAAAGTTCTATGGGAGCAACAGCAGAATTTTGAGGGTGGTGGGGACCTGGCTAAGGACCCGGGAACCTGAGGCAGGGCCATGGGAAGTTGGAATTCCTCTCTTCAGCCAAGTGTGAGTTGTGTATCTCTGAGTTGCTAATAGTCCAGGCACTGGGATACAGAGGAATTTACATTGGAGTTGCAGATAATTTGAACAAACCATTAATAAACAGAGAATTCATAATGGAACACATCAGGGAGTATGGACAAGCTCTGAAGACTAAAACTGGGTGACAGGACAGAACGGGGGTGGTAAGACTGATGGTAAATTGAGAGCTGTTGGATGTATGGTAGGAAGGAAGCAGATGGGGGTGGCTCAAAGGGAAGGGCATTCCAGGTGAAAGGAATAGTGAACACAAAGGTCCTGAGGTGAACAAGCCCAATTATGTTCAAGATACTGGAAAAGGCCAGTGTCACTGCAATACAAATAAAGGTCATGGTGTGAAGAGGGGCTGGAGCCACAGGTAACTTTGTAAAACCAAAAAGTCCTAGGAGGCTAGACTTTGCCACACAGAACCTGGGTAGGGCTGGGGCAGAGGCAGGCCAGGCAGGGAGGTCTAGTGGGTCTATGGTGGGAAGGCCACAGGGACTCAGCTGACCTGCAGGATGTGGTCAATGGCTCCTTGGAGCTTTCTGGCCCCACCAGTGCCTGGGGAGGCTGTGAGACCCAGCACCTGAGGAAGGGGCCATGTCATCTGTTGCTTATGCTCTAGGTACCGGCTCAGGATGACGTTGTAGATGGTGTTCTTGTGTGTGTGGTGACACTCGTCCACCACAATCAGCGAAAACTCTGGGAACACATGGGGGACAGCTGTAAGCTGTGCTTGCATACAGCTCTTCTGACAGCAGCTGAGTTTTATGTCCTCTTACTTGTCTGAGAACTCCCTCTTCCCTTTCCAAAGAACAGGCAGGGATGATCGATCTCCAATTTACAGATTAGAAAACCGAGGATCAGCTGGAAGAGGGGGCTTACTTACCCAGGAGCACAGGATGTAGTTTTGACAAATAGAAACTACTCTGTCCAACAAGAACTCCCACCTGACTGAAGGCCTCAGGTGTTCACCATGCCCCTGCCCTAACCTGTGAGCTCCACGTGCTCCTCCTCCTCTGGGCTACTCAGCGCCAGCTTCAACAGCTCTGCCGTGCAGATAAGCAGGTCATGGCTCCGGGCCAGGTGGCCAAAGGCAGCTCGGGATCCCATGTCCCCGCTCAGGGTTGTTATGGTCCAGCGTCTATCCAGCATGTGCCTGAATTCCTCAGCATGCTGGCTTACCAGGTGCACCTGGGGATGAAGAATGGAAGGGGAGAGATGCTGCATTGGGGTGGGAGGAGTGGGGGAGGAGTAGGGACTAATGTGACCTCTTGAGGACATGGCTGGGTCCTGGATTGAGAGGAAAAGACTTGGCAGCTCTGGACTCTAGGAGAGATGAGGAGCTGTCTGAAGAGCTAAGACCCTGCTGCTGGAAAGGCAGACCACTCACCCTGTTGACCAGCACCACCACCTTGGCTCTGTCTACAGTCTCTAGATGCCTCTTGGCCACAAAGGCAGCTGCCCGAGTCTTGCCAGCACCCGTGGGCAGCCATATAATGATATTCTTGCCCTCCAGAGCAGGTAGAATCACCTCCCACTGGTAGGGTCGCAGTTCCATTCTGGAATGGAAGGAGAATAGGAACTCTTGGCCTCAGACCCCTCCCCCCTCCCCGCCGACCCAATCAGATCAGAGATTTCCCTGAGAACTCCAAACCGTGGAACCCTACCTGGAACCTGCTCTGATCAGTGGGGGAGGCTAAAGTAGCAGGCTAGCCTAGACCCTGCCCGGTCCCGGGTTCTGGGAAGTGCTGGCTGATATTTCATAGGTATGAAATGGAAACCGAAAGGAGAGGGAGGAGCCAGAGCCCAACCCCTGCCACAGAACCTGGAAGTATGTTACAGACAGGAAAGCAACTGCAGTGCTAGCCCTCTGCTCCTTTACCTTCTTTTTGCAGCCAGTGGTAATGCAGTCCACCCAGGCTAAGCTTAAGGCCCAGAGGCTCTGACCTCTGCAGCCTGGCATCTGGGCCAGACCCAACCTGAGTCAGAATGGGCAGGCATTCTTAGGGAGGTTCTCTTGCTCTCCCTTGGCAGATGAGACAGGCTGGAAGGCATAGGGAAGTAGAAAGGATGAGTGGTAGCAGTCAGGCAAGTCCATCACCCCCATAATGCAGGACTAGACATGAGGCTTGCAGGGGTCAGCTGCCCCAGTGCAGCCTGAAGCTAGGTTCCAGGTTGCAAGGGGAAGGATTGAAGGAATGAAGGTTAGTCTTCTATGTCTAGAACTGCCCCCCACCAAAAAAATCACACAGGAAAATAAAAAAGAGCTTTATTTTTCCCTTCAAGGGATTAATGCCAAGGAATGAATGGTCCCCATGCCCCTCCCCCTGGAGGACAGGTGGACAAAACAGTGCAGATGAGCCATAGCCCCTCCAGTCCAGGCTGAATTTCCAACCCAAGCCCACTCACTGAAGCTACAATCAGTAGTCCTAGCCCTGGAAACAGGCACCTGGGCCAGGCCCAGAACTCCCAGCCTGCATAGTCTCTAAGGACCAGGTCTGGGGACCACCAGGGCCGACCAGTTCATCGTCTTGCCAGTAGACATTCTGTAAGGGATGACCCTAGAACAATCATCTCCCCAAGGTTGGTTGCCATGAAGTCAGGGACAGAGCTTTGGAGGGCCTGCTGGCAGAAAAGTCTGCAAGACCCAGGGCCCCTGGCTGGAGTATCTCCAGCTGAGTCAGGGAACCAAGGCCAGGGGCACCTTAGGGATCTGATGAGACTTGAAGTGGGAACTGCAGATCCCAGCTGGGGACTATTTGTCAATGAGCCCTCCCTCCTTGAGCTTGAAGTAGAAGAACTTCTCCAGGGCGCTGGCACAGCGACAATACTCGCTGTCTGGGGGGTTGTACTCCCGGCAGTTGGCAATGACCCGCTGCAAGTCAGCCACAAAGAGCTTCCGGGTCACATAGTAGCGACTTCGCAAGCGCTCCGTCATGGTCTTCAAGTCTGGGCAGCGGGAGAGAAGGGGCACAACTTTAAGAGGTGAAGGGCTGGGGGGCTGCCCACTGTGGTGGGCACCTGGCTCAATGAAGGCTGAGGCATATGTGGGTGGTATGGGTGGGGGAAGGGAAGGTGTGGAGGGTCCTCACCAATGGGGAAGCGGATGACCTCATAGTAGTCAGGGGCCTCTGATTTCTTCACAGGCTCCATGAAGGGCCAGGCACTGGGGTGTGACTGGAGAGAAGAGTTGAGGCTTGGGATAGGCCCATGGTGCCCGCTGCCCAACCTGAAACTGTCACCCACCCCAGATGAGTCATGAAGTCCCAGTCACTGGTGCAGGTACCCCTAGAAGAGAACCTGACCTCCCACCTTGATCTGGGCCAGCAGGTTTTTGAGGGTCGTGTACAGCTGGTCAGGGTCCTTCAGCTCCTTGCTGAGGGTGAGAAATGTCCAGTGTGAGGACTGGATCCCTCTGCCCCCAACTCCCATGTTCACCCCCAACTTGACCAAACACTCACCCCTTCTCCTTCCCCAATGGCTTCCAGCCTGTCTCGCCTGCAAAAAGTGAGACACCATCCTTAAGAATGTCTGCCCGTGCCCTGAGCATGCACCCCTGCCCCCTCAGCCAAGGCCCCTGCTCACGAATGCCAGGGACACTCTCCACTGGGATCTGCCTCACTCCTTCCTTGAAGCAGCTGAGCCCAGGATAGACCTTGCGGATCTGGGCCTGTTTGCGCTCAATCAACTTCTTGATGATCTGAGGAAGCAAGGGTCTGAGAAGTCAACTTAGGCCCAGGCCCAGCCACCCCCTACACCATGGTCAGTGAACAGAAACAGTACAAACCGATCTGATTTTCCCCAAGAGCCTGACCTGTCCCCATCACACACACACGGTACAAGCCTATGCACATGTGCCCCCATGCACTCACAAAATCCCTACGGATACACGTGTACAACCTCTTTCTGTTTCTTGATGATGTGGGACAGCTCCGTATAGGGGATTCGGGGATTCAGCTCACATTCCATCAGCGTTGCTCCCTCATAGTCCTTGATGTAGCCCAGGTAGCGGCTCTTGGGCACCTTGATGTCCTTAGAGAAGCCCTGGGCAAGGGGACAGGTAAGACCCAATCCATTTACAAGGACCCTCCAGCTTTCACAGTACTTCCCTCAGGAGTACTTGAGGGGCAGTGCATCCCAAGTCCCCTTTTACTACCTGTCTCTGAAAAGGTTCCAAGTTGGCGCCTCCTACTCCATCACCCCTGCCCCTCAATTCCTCTAGCTGGCCCAGTTGGCCCTGTTCTTCACTGGGTAGCAATGGGAGGGAGGAAGATAGGAAGGGAGGACTTCTTCACAGGTGCCAGGTACAACAGTGGATTTGAAGGAACTCCACCATGGGGTATGGGGTAGTAATAGGGGATGGGAGACTGGCCTGATCAGGTGTGGGGAGGCCAAGGCGCACCTGCTTTTTGAAATAGCCGATGGCGTACTCGTCAGCATAGGTGAGGAAGTAAAGGATGCTGTGCTTAATGTGATACTCCTTTAGGTGGTTCATCAAGTGGGTACCATAGCCCTGCCAGGAAAGATGGAACAGAGGGCAGGGAGGATAGGCAGATAGGCAGCTGGCAGAGGATCAGAGTTTATGGAGAGAAAAGCAAAGGTCACTGGATTTTTAGGTGCTTGCTCTGGGTCACACTCTAGACTAGACTACTTTGTATAGCTCCTCACCAGTTACCCTGAGTCAAGTATTATCACCCCATTTTATAGAAGAGAAAACAGGAAACGGAAACTCAGCCACACAAGGAACAAATCTGAGGTCAGCTGACCAGACACAGCTGAGCCAGGATCCAAGCTCAGTAGGCTGTGTTAGCCTACTGACTTCTAGCCCTGGGGCCTTAGAATTAAGGGGAAGGACAGAAAAGGGGTCATAGGGGCCTACTCAACACTGTTTATGAGCCCTGAACCCTGTCTCTCTCATGTAAGAACAGGAGAATGAGGAACCCAAAGTGGGTCTGCTGTGACAAAGGACAGAGCCAGGACCATAAGCACTAGGCAACTGCAACACTTATTAACACCCCAAGGTATGTAAACCTTCCTGAAAAAGAAACCAAGGTTCACTTAAAAAGTATTGTTGGGAAAAAAAAAAAGTACTGTTGGCTGGGGTGTAGCTCAGTTGGAAGAGTGCTTGCTTAGCATGCAGGAAGCCTGGTTTCAGTCCCTAGCACTGGATAAAACTAGGCATGGTGGTGCATACCCATAATCCCAGAACTCTGGAGGTAGGGGAAGGAGGATCAAAAGTCCAAGGTCCCCCTCCACTTTACAGGGAGTTCAAGGCGAGCCTTGGCTACATAAGACCCTGTCTGAAACAACAACAAAAAAAACCCTCACAGGTTCACTTAAAAAGTACTACTGGTTGGGAGCTTGGCTCAGTGTACAGCACTTGCCTAGCATGTACAAGGCCCCTTGTTCCATCCCAACACCAGAAAAGAAAAAGAAAGTACTGCTGACTCTAAGCTCTCTGGGGTTGGTTGGTTTGTTTTTTTTTTAAACAAGTGTTTCCTGAATGAGTAGTTACCAAGGCACAGCTGCCACCTTGTGGGGATGTGAGGAACTGTTTGGCCACCACAAGAAGGGATGAAGGCACACATCCCACTGTTCCAGCCTGGTCCAAATTCAGAAGCTGGTGATGGGATGGGGTGTGGCCGAGGGCACTACACTCACCTTAACCTGCTCATTTGAGGTGACGGCACAGAAGACAATCTCCGTGAAGCCCTGGGTGGGAAACATTCGGAAGCAGATCCCACCGATGACCCTCCCATCCTTGATCAAGGCTAGAGTCTTGTGCTTCCTAAGGGAGAGGGGGCATTGTCATACAGACCGCACCAGACTTCCTCATGCTCCTCAGGCCCTCAGCCCTGGAGGACTGAAGTGTCATCAGGGATGGGAATGGAGGAATGGCTACCCAGGGACTCACGGGTCAAAGACGAGGCGGGCAATATATTCCTTGGGCATGCGTGGCAGCTGGTGGGAAAAAACATTCTGCAGCCCCACAAGCCAGAGCAGCACACGCCGGTTGGCTTTGGGTGTCAGAGAGTTGCCAATGACGTGAAACTCGATGATGCCTCTTCGTTCCTCCAAGCGGGCTGTCTCATCCCGGGCTGCATTGGCTGACAGCAGGCTTGTCTAGGCAGAAGAAGGGTGGTGAGTAAAGGCCTCAGATGGGTAAGGGCCCCTTGCCCCACAGGCCAGCAGGCCAGGCTACCCACCTCAGGCCCCAGCATGGCAGCGGGGTCAGTGATGGTCAGCATGACCTCGTTGACCAGCTCCATGGGGATGTCACCCATAACACGGAGTCGCTTGGCGTCCTCCAGGGTCAGATTCTCGGGGAGCTTCCTCTTCTCTCCTGCTGGGGAGGGTGACAGGGTCACCCAGGGATAAGTACGAAAGGCTGAGGGAGGGGTGGATGGGGGTCAGAGGTCAGGGGTCAAGGACCCACCTGGCATGGGCTCTGCCCCTGCAGAATCCAGGCTCAGGGAGCTGTTGCTGCCCCCGCCCATGGTGGGGCTGAAGATTGGAGTGCTGGGAACAACTGCTGCACTAACTGTAGCTGGAAAGAAAGAAGGAAACCAAGGACAAGGAGTGCAGGTTGCTGGCAGGTCCCTTCAATGGATCCAGGCCCTCTCAGCCCTAGCTGAACCCCCCCTTTATCTTTCCACTGCTGCCACACCCCACCCCATGACCCCAAGGGGAACAGCCTATCGAGAATGACCAAGCAGACCCTACACAGCTACTGTGCCACATACCTGGCCGGGGCACCAGCTGTGTGCCCTCTGAGGGTGGCATGGTGAAGCCCGACTCCCAGATGGGAGAGTTTGCTCCGTAGATCTCTTCCTCCAGCATGGACAGAAACCTGCAGGGAAGGGACAACTGTCCTATGACTCCACCCTTCAACCAGGAGTAGCCTGGGCCAGGCCCCAGAGGGAAGGAGGCCAACTGGCCAGACTGTGTTCTCAGGGGGCGGGAGCCTGAGAGAAGACAGCCTCTGCAGTCTGGGAGGCCCTGCTCTGAAGGGGAGGCTCAGTTCCCTGCCTGCAGAGGACCTCCAAGAGAAGACAAACAGAATAGCTGTCAGAGTCCCAATTTTGTCATAGTATATGACACAGGAGAGTGAGTCTGAGTTGATACCATCCTGTGCTGTGTGGCTAGGCAGGGCACCCAAGCACCTGACTTCTCTATCAATCACCCCATCTTGCCATTTCTTGCTTCCACCTACTTGTCCCAGCAAAGGCTTTTGGTCAGAGGACTCTAAGAGCCAGATTCAAAAGGGAGGAAGATGTGACACAATGTATATAGAAAGGACTAGAACAGAGATGGCAAACAGTTTCACCTCAATATAAACTGATTTCTTGGAGTGCTGTGGTGGGAAAGAATCAGAGGCCGCATTGAGGCCCCATAGGAAACAATTAGTAACAATCTATCGGGTGTGGGTGGGAGGGGGTAGCGTTAGCTGGGGCCATGTACCTGCCATCCCCAGACTAGCACATACTAGCAAGAAGCTTCTGGGCCATAGGCAAATCTGCCAGGTAGACACCCAGATCCCAGAAGGCCCATGGAGGGAGAGGAGGGACCAATCCAGGAAGCCTTCCTGGAAAAAAGGGGACAATAGCGAGGACGTGAACTTGGAGCAAAATCCCAACAGGCCAGACCGAGCCTTACTTGGGGAAGTGAGTAAGGATGAGGGTCCTCTTTTCAGGCACCAGCTTGTCCTTCTCTACTCGAAACTTTTCCAGCAGCTGCCGGCGGGTGACAGTGAAAATGGACCGTAGAAGGCTTCGCCCGAAGACGTGGGTGGTCTCATAGCGGGGGAGGCTATCGCAGCTCTGGGGCACGTGGCAGTAACAGAGCCATCTGGGGGTGGTAGAATGGTATGTGAGGGTAGAGACTACTGGACCCAGGCTGGAACCACAAGATTCTCCTGTTAGATTCTGGCTGGGCCTACCTGGTATAATTGACCTTGTAGGTAGCCACATCCTCTGACTGGGACCTCTGCCGAAATTGAGCAGGTGTCTCCAGCTTCCAGTAGTTAAGGCAGAGCAGGAACATCTTTGAGAGCTCAAACATTGTCTGCCGCTCTCGGGGAGCCAGGTGACTAAATTTGTACTGCACAAAGTTCAGTACACCCTGAGAAGTGGGAAAGGGACAAAAACAATATGGTGTAAAGAGTCAGCACAGGCATCTCACTCAAGGAAGGATACTCCTGAAGGACAAGTATAAGCCAAGGCTCTCCTCTTACTCAGACTCTGAACTATACTCCCCACACTTCTCTGCTGACCCTGAGGTCAGCAGACACTGTACTCCCTTCTTTAAACTTCTCTCCTGTTCCTAGCTTGAGGAAGCTGGAGAACACAGGCTTTCCACCCTCTAAGCTGCCCCCAGTTCTCCTTACTACCTGCCCTATCCTACCTGCTCAATGTTAGGCTTCTCAAATGGGGGACTTCCCAGAGACCCCTCAACCACAGGTCGAGTCATCTGCAGGATGCATTTCCGAAGAAGCTAGAAGGAAGAGGAATGGGGAGAAACACTGGTAGCAGAGCTCAGAGACACCCCCCCCCACACACACACCTCATCTCCTTTCTTGTTCTGTAAAATCTCACCTTGAAGAGGTAAAAGTAGACCTGCTTGGTGTCTGTGTCCTCCTCCTTGTGAACAGACATGAATAGATTTTCTACATCGACTACCATCCCCAGAAGACGGTTTATCTCATCTTCTGACACATTCTCCAGGTGGGACACATGGTCAGCTGCAAGGTGAATAGGTTTTGGGTTGGGAAGAATGGAAAGAGGAGATCCACAGCACTTCCTGCACCTCTTCCCAACTAGCTGTGACACACCTTCGTTCCTCCAATCGGTGACTGACAGTGGGTTCCAATGTTTCCATGTCACCCCATGGTTAGAGTCTGCCTTTTCTGGGATGCCATACTTCCTTTTTCTTTCCTTGGGGCATACATACTCCCAACCCAATCCTTCCTTAGGAGGTGTCTCTGTTTTTTCTGACAAGAGGCTTTATGATACTTAAGTCACCCTGTCCAAACAGGACCTGGCATCTGCCCTCCAGCCCAGCTCCAAAGGCACTACCTGCCTTACCCAAGGGGTGCTCACAGCTGCGGCACAGTTCACTCAGGTTGGCAGCTGGCTGCTGAAGGTCCATGCGGGGTGCAGTGGGGGGCTTGGGATTTTTCCAGCCATTACATTTGCAGGTTTCATTGGCCTGGAGGCGGAAGGATCAGTCAATGACGCTGTATTCCTAACGCAGGAGCAGTTCCGCAGCTCGAGCTTCGTCCTCATTCCCACCAGAGCCCTAGGATGCCCCAAGCCCCGCCCCTTTCACCTTAGGCCCCGCCCCCACCTTGCAAGCCGAGAAGACCCCTAGCTTCTCAAGCTTCTTGGCACGCGGCAGCCCCCGGACTTGCGCCTTCCTTTGGCTAGCACGCTGCTGCTGGCTCAGGCCGGGTCGAGCCGGATCGCCCCCACTCCCGGGCCCCCCACTTCCTACCCCGGGCCCCCCAGTCCCTGTGCTCCCGGCTGGGGCTGCAGCTGGGGCAGGGGCTGGTGCCGGAGTAGGAGCTGGAGTAGGGGCCGAAGCCGGGCTGGGCGCAGGAGTCGGAGTTGGGGCAGGGGCCGGGGACTGAAGGGGCCGGGGCTGCGCGGCCGGGGCCGCGGCCTGGGAAGGTTCCGCCATAGCCTCCCCCGCAGCGGAGCGGCGCCGCGCTCCCAGCCCTAGGGCCGCATGGGCTACCGGCGCACAGTGCGCAGGCGTTGCTGCCCCGGCGCACTGTGGGAGTCGTAGTCTTCCCCCGCCTCTCGCCATGGCTCGGCCTTCCAGACTCTTGGTTGCAGACAGCTAAATGAGGCTGGAGTGAGCATCGGAGATCGACAGTTACTCAGTTCTAATCTTTCTTGAAAGAGTCCAGGATAGTGACGACTGTTGTCCTCTATTTGTTTGAGACAGGGTCTCTTGTAGCCCCAGCTGATCAAACTCACTATGTAGACCAGGCTGGCCTCGTTCTCTCAGAGATCCACCTGCTCTCCCCCTCCCACGCCGTCCCCCTCCAGTGCTGGAATTAAAGGCGTGTGCCACCGTGCTGGGCCTTTTTGCTGTCCCGGAACACAGGCAGCCTTTGGAGGATTTGTAGGCTCTGCTGGTCCAAAGTCCACAGGTGGTAGTCCATAGGTAGTGCTCTCCCATCACCCCCAAAGGCCTGCCGGTCTCCCCCATCCCCCGCCGCTCGAGGCTACTGGGCTACAATAGAGATTAAATGTAGCAACATTTTATGTAGTGTGGTGGTGTTACAAATGTGTTGACTTTGTGACATTTAGCTTTTTTGTCCATTTCTCTAAGTAGGTTACTTTTCAACTAAGTTTACCTTCAAAAGAGCACGGAGCATCAGAGGCATCTTTATGGCCTTGATTGTTACAAAGGCTACTAAGGTGGGGGATGAGGCCCAGGCCAGACTGCACAGTGAGGGTGTGTGTGTGTGTGTGTGTGTGTGTGTGTGTGTGTGTAGGGGAGTTCTTAGTCGATCCTCATGATACTGGTAGTAATAAACATATGTGTATTTGTGCTTGTGTGTGGACATGTGTGTGCATATATAAACATGTATTTGGTCAGATGAGCTAAACATGGATCCCACTGTCCTCAGCCAGATCTGCCGCTCCCCCTCAGTGATGTCCTACAAGATGTGCTCTCCAGTACCCCCCTAGTCCAGTCTAGAGAGAGAGAGAGAGAGAGAGAGAGAGAGAGAGAGAGAGAGAGAGATTTAAAGGGCCAGAAAGATGTCCACTTCCCCATGTCAGTTTAGGACTGTGCACGTCGGGAGAGTCGTTTCTGGATGATCACGAAGGCCCCCTCTGGTGGATCTGTCCATGTCCCTGGCCTTCCCGGTTGCTGGGATTAAAGGTGTGTATGCCTAGCTTCAGGCCTGGTTCTTAAGAAGTCACCACAGACCTCTTCCAGCCAGTGGATCAATCCCATTTGAGCTCTGAGGAGTTGAACTCCCACACATTGCATGATCCAGTTCCTTCACAGCCCTATGATATGGGTAGAGAAGAGCCCAGGGAAGAATAGGACCTGGGACAGAAGCAGCAGTGGGCTACAGAGTTGCTAACAACCTGAGGCTTGCAGGTAAGATGTGCATGGCTTCACTCAAGCCTGCATTGGCAGCTGGGAAGTGAACCCTAGTGGGCGAGGCTGAGTTTGGCTGGGCCGGTGGGATTGGCACTGGGTGGGGCCTGAGGACCCTCTTCCCTCGTGACTGAGCACCCACCCAAGCGCCCAACTGAGGCCTAAGCCCTCTCGTCCTTAGGCAGCAGTTGCTCACTCTGGATTCAGTTTCTCCACCGAAAACCGGGCGGCATCCCGATGCCCCAGCGTGGCCTTCTTTGAAATAAATCAGTCTGCAACGCTGCCTGTGCGGCTGCTCAGAAATAATTCCGTTGCTGTGCAGGGCAATGATTACACCGAAGAAAGTTTCCAAATGAAGATGGATGCCCACGGCTTCACTCCGGAGGAGCTGGTGGTGCAGGTGGATGGCCAAAACCTGATGGTGACGGGCCAACGCAAACGGGAGTCGAGTGACCCGCTCAGGGGCGGTTACCGCATGGAGTTGAGGGTGCACGGGCAAATAAAACTGCCACCGGACCTGGATCCCGCAGCCATGACCTGCTGCCTGACGCCCTCGGGCCAGCTGTGAGTCCGGGATGAAACAGGGTGCTGTCCCCCCATGAAGCCCAAACAGGACTGACCCCAAAACTCAGGAGCTGTGAAGTGGCTCCAAGGGTTCCAACCACTAGTGAACAATCTAGTAAACAACCACCGAAGTGTGCAGCAGCCTTGGGATGGAGGTTAGAGCTACAGGCAGAGGGGGCACAGGACAAGGTAGTGATACACCAAGAATCAGGTTTCTGGCCCTGGAAGAAACCGGTAGAGTACGTCCTTAGTTGACAGGAGCAGCTCCAGCAGGGAGCAGCAGTGGAGGGTCCTGAACCAGGATGGGATGTATTGGGCCTGGCACAGAGGTCCTGGGGAGGGCAGAAGTGGTGAGGGGGACACAGCATTGGACTTGTGACCAGACTTCAGGGGTCATGTTCCTTACCAGGGAGGAGGGCAAGAAGATCCATTCTAGAGAGACTTAATACAGTCCTACCCCAAATCCCAGAGGTCGTTTCAGGGACCAACAACCTTCACATACAGATTGCATATCCTTTAATGTAAGCTGAGGGGAGCCAGGGCCAAAGGACCCTCAACTTCAAACTTGATCAGCCCTAGGTTGGTCCTACCCTTGCTCTACACCACCCTCAGAGTTGCAAACAGTAGGGCCTCTTTCTCTTGGTTACCATGCCCACCAGCATTTCATTGAATGAGGTTCGGTGATTCATTTTATAACATCAGGTAATTAGAGAGGACATGGTCTGATAAACTCTGCCAGAGAAAGACGAAGAAAACAAGTGTGAGGTCGATCGATCGGCTGACTATATTGACAAGATACTGATTGGTTACATGTTGAAGAAAACATACAATACAAAATACAGAAAAAGTTGGTTCCATCCCCTCCCACTTCCCCCCATACCCACCCACCCACCATCCTTTAATGTAAGCTGAGGGGAGCCAGGGCCAAAGGACCCTCAACTTCAAACTTGATCAGCCCTAGGTTGGTCCTACCCTTGCTCTACACCACCCTCAGAGTTGCAAACAGTAGGGCCTCTTTCTCTTGGTTACCATGCCCACCAGCATTTCATTGAATGAGGTTCGGTGATTCATTTTATAACATCAGGTAATTAGAGAGGACATGGTCTGATAAACTCTGCCAGAGAAAGACGAAGAAAACAAGTGTGAGGTCGATCGATCGGCTGACTATATTGACAAGATACTGATTGGTTACATGTTGAAGAAAACATACAATACAAAATACAGAAAAAGTTGATTCCATCCCCTCCCACTTCCCCCCTTACCCACCCACCCCCAAATACTCATCATCGTGATTTGGTCAGAATAGGGCTCAGAGCCAGAGGTCAGGGTGACCAAGGCTGGAGAGGTTGCGGGCAACGAATGGATGTGTGGCTGTCACAAATGATGCTGCAGTAATGCTGCGGTTTCTCTCCCAGCTGGGAGTTGGGTGGGGAGGGGGGTGCAGCCTGATGACAGCCAGCTGAGGGAAGAGCAACCTGCCCCTTCCCTAGCTCAGGGCCTGCCCACCGCCCCGGACCAAGCCCACTCCCAACAAGGTAAGCTGTGTATGCTCTTGTTGAGTCTGCTTTCCAGCAAGAGGGTAAGAAAGGGTAACTGCTCCAACCCTCATCCCCACAGATGATGGGGGACAGGAGCACGTGGCTGCTATCAGCAAAGGACAAGTGGGAGAGCAGTGGAAAAGGGGAAGTGGGAAGAGCAGAAGATCATATATATTAAAAAAGTGACTTAAGACTTAAAATTGAATTAGTATTTGTACAGAAAGGTGCAGGTGGAATAACTCCCTCCGGCCTAGGATCAAAGGAACTTGGAGAAACCATGATGGACCCCTCCCCTGCCCCCGGCGGTGGCCCGAGTCGTTAAGTGCGATTGGTTAGAGTGGGTTCCAGTCGGGACATTCTGGCGGACGAGTGGGGGCAGTGGCAGGCAAGGGGGGCTCAGTTGCTGCAGCACTGGCTCCGGCTAGCTGGGCTGTTCTCCTGCAGATCCACACCTCGGTTCCGGCCTGGAGCACCAGCTGCATTCTGGGGCTCATTCTTGGGAAGTTTCTTAGCTGTTTGGGAGAGAAGGGGAATTCATCTGTGGGGCCACCCCAATATTCTCCCCTAATTATGTTAGAGCAGAAGCTGGACTTGACCACCTACTCAATGATAACCAGCAGCATATGGAGAGCTGGCATGCCAGGTGCAGAGTGAGTCTCTCTGGAAACTGCCAAGATCACAAAGCGGTAAGTAGGAGAATCAGGATTTGAACCCAGGCAGGATGACTCCCCAACCAAATGAGCTACAAAGCCCTAAGGGGTAGGGCTCAGCAGTTAAGAGCACTGGCTTTCTTGCTGAGGACCCAGGTTTGGGTTCCAGCACCCACATTGTGGCTAAAAACCATCCATTAACTCTAGTTCCAGGGGATCCGACACCCTCTTCTAACCTCCGAGGGCACTGCACGACATGGGTGCCCTTATATGCATGCAGGCAATATACTCATACACAAAAAATTTTTAAAAAAAATGTTCTAATGGGGAGAGGACAGCAATGGAAGGCTGACATGGGCAGCAAGCCAAAGATCAGAGAGTAAAAGGGTTGAGGCTTTGGCCAAGGATTTAGAAATTTCTGGTATGCACTGTATCTGGGAGTTAGTCAGACAACAATTTTATCAGATAGTTAAAAATAGTGACATTAGCCAGGCGTGGTGGCGCATGCCTTTAATCCCAGCACTCTGGAGGCAGAGGCAGGTGGATCTCTGAGTTCAAGGCCAGCCTGGTCTACATAGTGAGTTCCAGGCTAGCTGGGGCTACAGGGAGACCCTGTCTCAAAAAGACCAAAAAAAAAAAAAAAAAAAAAAAAGTGATATGAGGGGCTGGAGAGATGGCTCAGCGGTTAAGAACACTGGTTGTTCTTGCAGAAGACCCAGGTTCAAATCCCAGCACCCACATGGCAGCTAACCACTATCCGTAACTCCAGTTCCAGGAGATCTGACAGCCTCTGCAGGCATTGCATGACACAGGTGCACTTACCTACATTCAGGCAATACATGCATTCACATAAAATAAAAATAACAAAATTTTTTAAAAAAGGTAGTTAAAAAAAATAATAATAATGACATTTAGGCCTGGCACGGTGGCATATGCCTTTAATCCCAGCACTTGGGAGGCAGAGGCAGGAGAATCTGTGAGTTCAAGGCCAGCCTGGTCTACATAGTGAGTTCCAGGCTAGCTGGGGCTACAGGGAGACCCTGTCTCAAAAAAGAAAAAAAAAAAGTAACATTTCTGTTAGTGAAGGGACTCCACAGACCCACTAAAAACAGCACAAAGGACTCTGCCCTGCCTGGGGGTGGGACAGGGAAGAGAGGCAACTTACCTATCGCCATGAAAATTTCATTCACATTCATTGCAGTTTTCGCTGATGTCTCCATGAACAGCAAACTGTTATCATCTGCATAGGCTTGTGCTTCCTGATTCAAATGAAGTGAGAAAGAGGGTGGGAGGGGAATGATGGCAGATGGCAGGAGCTGGGGCCCATGATAAAATTTTCCTTGGTTTCAGTACTTATAAAAAAGAGACTGGCTGGGCAAAGGCAGTGGTTTCAAGCCTAAGGCTCCACTGTTCTGGGTGGGTTTCCTCAAAATACCCATGCCACCCAGCTTCCACTCCCCACACTGCACCACTCAGTTCACAAACAACTGGCAGGTGTCTTACTCAGATTTCCCTAGGTCCACTCTGCCTTCTTGCTCTTCAAAATCACCAGGCTAGGAAATACTTCTAGAAAGGTATCCTACAAATATACTTGCACATTTGGACAAAACATGGGAATATGTGGCTGCTGCCTGCTATTTCTGGTCCTCAGGTATTGGGAACAACCTAGAAGGCCATTAATTAGGAACTGGTAAAATATGACTTGCAGGAATGGAGAGATGGCTCAGCAGTTGAGAGCACTGTGCTCTTGCAGAGGACCTGGGTTCAGTTCCCAGCACCTACATGGTGGCTAACAATCATTCGTAACTCCAGTTCCTGGGATCTGATGCTCTCTTCTGACCTCTGTGGGCATTGCATGCATGTGGTGCACTGACATACATGTAGCTAAAACATTCCTACACATAAAATAATTTTAAAAAATGAACTGCAGAGCCAGGCAAATCTCCGTGAGTTCAAGTCCAGCCTGGTCTCCATAGTGAGTTCTAGGCCAGCTGGGGCTGCAGGGAGACCGTCTCAAAAAGACAAAAAAAAAAAAAAAAAAAAAAAAAAAAGAATTGCAGAGCTGGGTACAGTAGCAGGAGGTTCTGAAGTTCAAGGCCAGCCTGGGCCACATGCTACATGAGAACTACCCCCACAAACAAGGGTGTAGCGTATAGTACATTGTACACAGCACACTCTCATCTATGTAAATGGGATTCAGATATGCACATTTTTGGAAAGACAAGAAACTGGGAACTCTGGAAAAGAGGCTCAGTGTCCAGGACTAAGAGATTAAACTTTCTTTCTCCATACCTTCTTGCACACTTAAAATTTTACTACATGCCGGGCGTGGTGGCGCACGCCTTTAGTCCTAGCACTCAGGAGGCAGAGGCAGGTCGATCTCTGTGAGTTCTTGGTCTACATAGTGAGTGCCAGGCCAGCTGGGGTTACAGGGAGACCCTGTCTCAAAAAGACCAAAAAATAAATAAAATAGAATTTTACTACATGCAACTATTGTCTGATAAAGGTACTTCTGTCTCAGTCCATTCAGTTGATAATACAAGATGAAAAGCCTCACCTTTCCACAAACACACAGACACACACATGACAAAAGAGCAAGAGAGAGACAGGCAGTTTTTGAGGTCCGTGTTTGAGTCATGAGAGGGCACCAGATGAAGGCAGCCTGGGAAGGCCTCCCTCATGGTGCTGGCTCACTCTTCCCCAAGTCTTATCATCTCCCTACCTGGAACTCCACAGCTCTCTTGCTGGCCAGGTCTGCCTTGTTACCCGCCAGTGCAATGACAATGTTGGGGCTGGCCTGCCTCTGTAACTCCTTCACCCAATTCTTGGCCCGTGCAAATGTATCCTGAAGAGACAGGATCAGAGTGTCAATGGGACATAGGAGACATTCTCCAACAAACTCAAGCTGGCACAGCCAAGGCATCTGAGCTGTCATCCCCAAAGATTCTCATGAGATAGCCCCAATCAACAGAGGAAATCTGTCCATTTCCCACCCAGGAACAAGAATTTGATATGAGGCTTTTATGACCCAATTCCTGGGGCTTCACAAAGATGAAGGGCAGGAAGAAAGGGAAGGAAAATCTTTACTGTATTGGTGATGTCATAGACCACAATGGCTGCCTGGGCCCCCCGATAGTACATGGGGGCTAGGCTGTGATATCGCTCCTGTCCGGCTGTGTCCCAGATCTCAAACTTGACTGTTGTATCATCTAAGCAGACAGTCTGTGTGAGGAAGGCCGCTGTAAGAGAGAAGGTGGTGTCACCAGGCGGGGTGAGCTAGAAGCCACCCTAACAGATTTTCCGTTGCTAGCTGGCTCTGGGACATAGAACCCTACTGCTCTCTGCCCACACTGGGTGGGTGGGATCTGCATCTGTCTGCGTGTGCCTTACAGACACAGCCCAGGCAAGAGCTGGACACAGGAAGCACCTGCACTTGAGCCATCTGAGAGCCACTCTGAAGAATGCAGAGGGACAGGAGAAGGGAGGCTCAAGGGCACCCCGATGACAAGCACAGAAGGGCGAGACCCCTTTTCCCCTTGCCCTCCGCCTGCTTTCCCCCAGAGCAAAGTCTAGCTGAAGGCCTGCTTTAGCCCAGGGGTGACCATGGCCTTCAGCTTCAGGAAGGCATTCTCACTGGCTTGGGAAAATAGTGTCACACTGCCAGGCTGAGGCTGGGTAGCTGGGCTTCCCAACCACCCCTGCCACCTCCAGACACTCCAGCCAGTCCATCTTCGCTCTGATCCAGACCCGTTCCTGTATGGCCACAGAGATTCTCTCTCGGAAAGGGGAATACAGGACACCAAAGTAAATCTGCTTCAAAGGAGAAGTTCCGGAGGAGCTGGGACAGGTAGGGTCCCCTGTACCCTGGACCCAACAGGGGATGATCAAGGACAGCTCTGTAGAAAGCTGCTTTCCTGTGTGCGCCCCACCCCCACCCACGGAGGGGGCACCACCTTACTTCCCCCTCTACAGCTCCAGACTGAGTGCTGAGGAGGCAGGGGAAGCTGCTGACATGGCCCATTCTGTTTCCAGCTGCCTGGAAACCTCCTACCAACTGAGAGAGTAGAGAATGACTCAAGTCCAAGGATGGCCCTGGTCTCTTGAGGTTTACATTGACCACTGACATGAGAGGCTGAGTTCAGACTCTTATTCACATCCTAAATGCTGACCAATGGGGAATCAGCAACATGCTCTGAGCTCCAGAAAGGGCAAAGATCAGCCTCAGAAATGCCAATCCAACCCCAGCTAAGATTTATCCCCATTCTGGAAAGTAAGGAGGGGACGGGGCACACATGTTGCCCCACAAAACAAAAAGGACCATCTGAGAGCTACAGACAGTCCTCCCTGGTGCCAGGTCAGTGAAAGGGGTTCAGTGTATCCACACAAATAATAAAGAGGCTAGACCAGGCAAGAGGCTGTTTTCAATTCCTAGTGGCCATGCTCGTTGGATCTCTGACTGCAGAATTTGATTCCAGGGCCCTAGGAGGGAAAAGTGCTGCCAAATCAGACATATTTAGTCTGATTCCTTCTCTTCAAGGCCAAGACACTTCTGGCTCCCCAAGACCCCAACTCACTGTGCTCACTCACCTCCAATTGTGCTCTCCTGGTACTCGTGGAATTGTCCTTTGACAAAGCGGAGGACAAGGCTAGATTTGCCCACTGCAGATTCCCCCAGCAAGACCAGCTTAAACTGACAGATCTTGTTTCCAGTGGCTGGTCCATTGGGTCGTGCTGTGCCTCCCCGACCCGCCATGGCCTGATGCACCTTAGTGGTACCGGTAAGTGTGGGGGCGGGGCCGGTGCTAGGCAAAGAGGCACTTAGTAGGGAGGGAGCCCTCCAACTGCAAGGGAGAAATAAGAGGTAGGGGATTAGAATGAGACGGTCACAGGTGCCCTTCCTAAAATAAACCACAGGTAGTTATCCCCCCTGCCCTCCCTGATGACCTGGCTGATTGCTCCTGCCACTCAACTCCCAACCCTGAAGGAGCTGAAGTCCTTACTGGGTGGACCACAGATCTCCTAACTCTACAATCAGCTGAGTGGTACAGACGAAAGTGGCTTCCTAATTTTAGGCTCATGGGTCCTGAGCAAACACTCTGACTTCCCACTCTTACATATATATACATTCATTCACAAATAAACAACAGGAGAGGGATGGATGAATGCCAGCCTAAGTCAGCAGGTCTCAGGGCTCCCCCCACTCCACCCATTAAAAAGAAGGCTCAGGAAGACAGTAGGATTTAGGTCAATGAACAATAAGCTTATAGTCTGATGCTAGGACTATGGCCTGCTCTGGATAGAGCCAGAGTATGTGGGGAGGTAGATGAAGGTACAGAGAGTCCTGGCCTCAGATAAGGTGCTTGTGGGCACTCAGAGATCAAGGCCTGGCCAGTGCAAGTTGTTATCCAAAATAACTCTGCTTGTACCACCTACAAAAGGACTGACTGACCTTCTTGGTCTGAGGCTGGACTGTATGTCAGGAATCAAAGTAATGTTCCCTCACTCACTCTCAGCCTCCCTCCCTAGTCTTCTGGATGGGCCAATAGTCTCACATTAAAAAACAAACCACACAAAAAAACAAATACCCACTGAAGCCAAAGCTCTGCTAGCAGTCTCTGCTGCCAACTCTCTCTTTTAAATAGACCTCAGTTCCATTCTCAACTGGCAGAGGCAGTGGGGGGCGGGGGGGGACACAGAGGAAGAATAAGGAGGAGGGGGAGGGGGGAGGCAAATATGAGACACTGAGCCCTGCACCCCCAGCAGCTGGTGCTGCGGCCCTGACCTCACCACTTTGTAACAGCTTCATAGACTCAAAATTCTTATAAGCTTTGGAACTGCAAACAAGGATGAGGAAGACACAGACCAAGTGACAGCAAACACTAGAGGTCTAAAGTGAGTGCTCAGTAGGCTGGTGCAGCATTTGGGTCTATGATGACTGCCTTTTGCATGTATGGGGGGTAGCTGTCTTTGGAAAAGATTACAGGGGAGAGCCCTGACCTACCCCTGAGCAAGAGGAGTGTACTCCCCTGTAGTCACAGGGCAGGAGTGTAATGAACAGGGTGCCTGTGGGAAGCCAGTGGTCTAGACCCCTGCAAGAAACTGACAGCAAAGGGGCCCGCTTTGTTCAGCCTCAAATCCCTTTCTACATCCAAAATCTCCCAGCAACTCATTTCAAAAGTGAGCTTCAGGAAGAGTGATTCACTTACTAGGAACAACAGTTTCCTTTCTGGGGAGCACAAAAGGAAAAAAGCTTTGAAATGGGGGCCACCTCTTCCCCAAAGTACAAGGAAGGAAGTATGGGGGTGTGTGTCTTAATTTGATTACTAACCAGAAATGTCATTTAAAGATGCCATAAGTAAGGTACTTTCTCATTTACCCCAGATCCCAGGCAAGGAAGAGGCAGGCCTGTGTTCTGTTTCAGGAGGTCTTCCTCACAATGCCCATGTATGTTCTAGGAACTCAGACCCCTTACTGAAGGAAATCATTCCTTTTTTTTTTTTTGGTCTTTTTGAGACAGGGTCTCCCTGTAGCCCCAGCTGTCCTGGAACTCGCTATGTAGTCCAGGCTGGCTTTGAACTCACAGAAATCCGCCTGCCTCTGCCTCCTGAGTGCTGGGATTAAAGGCGTGCACCACCATGCCTGGCACAGGAAATCATTCTTGAAGATAGCTAGCATCTACTGAGTGACTGCACAACCTCTTATCTCCTTTAAGCTTTAACACAACCTGGGATTTTTTTTGGGGGGAGGTCTTTTTGAGACAGGGTCTCCCTGTAGCCCCAGCTGTCCTGGACTCACTATGTAGACCAGGCTGGCCTCGAACTCACCGAGATCTGCCTGTCTCTGCCTCCTGAGTGCTGGGATTAAAGGCAGGCGCCACCACGCCCGGCCTACAACCTAGCATTTTTACAGACATAACTTGACAGTATTAAACATCCTGCTCAAAGCCACCAGTATACAAGTGACAGGACCAGGATGCAAACTTGGGTTCAGGCACACACACACAAGGTCATTTGTTATCAGATATTCTCTCTGCGGGGAGGAGGGGGACAGGACAATGTGGGCAACACCCACCCTCAGAGTTTGGTTTTGGTGGCTGCAGCAGTTTTGCTAGCTAGGCTAGGTCTGATTCTGGCAACAGTGATGGGCAGGCTCCCAGTACTCCCAACAGTGGGAGGAGCCACTCAGAACCAGGCAGAGCTGAGGCCACAGAGGGAAAACCACAATGGAATTACAAGTTGGTTATTATCATAAGTGCACATGACACATAATCTTGGCAGGGCAACCAATGCGGCTGGGGCAGAAGAAGAGGTTGGAAGGGGTGGGGCAAGGGGAACAGAAAAGCAAGTGCCTGACTGCAAAAAGCCAAAGTAGCTGGGGAGGAATGGCTACTGGGAGGGTAGCAGCCATCACCCACAGCTGAAAAAATAGAGGCTGCATACCCAAGTCTCATCTGTAGCCACCCTACAGCTTTCAAACCTTTCCAGGCAGCACATAACTTTTACCCAGTGGTTCTCAACCTTGTCTGTATGTCAAAGCCATCTGTTTGGCTGGCCTGGGGAGCCCACACAGGTTTGGTTTGGAGTAGAGCTGGCTAGCTCAGGTGCCACTGAAGCACAGTCAGGCTAGAGTAACTGGCACAGAGCTCTTTGTGTCCAAAGAGCACAACTGTCTCTTTTCACTTCTGGGTCACCTCAAAGAAGCCACCTGAGCTGAATCAAACTGGTGGAATTAGTGATGGGTACATCAGGGTTAATGCCAGTGTCTGCCAAGAGTCTCTCCATACCACACACAATGTTGAATAAACAGCAGCGACTAGTATTGACGTGACTGTCTGCAATACCTTCTCTATGGCTACTCATGAAGAGACCCTGGCCTCCCCAGTGAACTGAGTCTAACTCTACCTGGCTGGCCTAAACTAGCTACTGACATGTTGTACCAGGTTATTGGTCCTGCCTTCCAGAAACACCTGGACAGGCATCCATAGCACTTTTTTTTGTTTGTTTTAGGGGTTTTTTGAGACAGGGTCTCCCTGTAGCCCCAGCTGGCCTAGAATTCACTTTGTAGACCAGGCTGGCCTTGAACTCACAGACAGAGATTTGCCTGCCTCCGCCTCCCAAGTGCTGGAACTAAAGGCATGCGCTACCACACCTGGCTCCACAGTACTTTTTTTAAAAATTATTTTATTTATTATTTTTATTTTATGTGTATGCGTGTATTGACTGCCTGTAGGTAAGTGCACTCATGCTGTGCAATGCCCGAGGAGGACAGAAGAGGCTGTCAGATCCCTTGGAACTGGAGTTACGGACAGTTGTTAGCTGCCATGTGGGTGCTGGGATTCGAACCTGGGTCTTCTGCAAGAAAAGCCAGTGTTCTTAACCACCAAGCCATCTCTCCAGTCCCCCAAAGTTCTTTTTATAGTCTGCTGCCTCCTAGTTTTCCTGGTACCACTTAGTGGTCACGTGAGTAGAGGTGTCCAAACTTTTCAGAAAATAAAGCACTAAGCAAAACAATTTTTTTGCCAGGAAGGGCATAAAGAGATACGAGGATGTCTGAGACAGATGAAGGCCACACCCTCTTCTCCCAAGACTGAAAAACCAGAAGACATATCCCTGGCAGGTGGTAAAGATGAATGAACTCAGGTAGAGCTGTCTTCCCTCCTACAGGAAGATGTCTGCTCTGAACAAATAGCATAAAATCTCTACATTACAGATCAAGTGATGAGAAAAATTTTAAGTGTCTTGGAGTCAAAACTCAAATCTGCCTTAAGAGAGAGTCACCATCAAAGTTGTCTGTAAGACACAGAATAGGTTCAGGATTATTTTCCCTGGCCCATGGCAAGGGACTCTCCTTCTTAGGACCTACTTCTCAACCCTTCAACCAGAATCCTGGTTTGTCCAGAGACCATGAAGAATGGGCAGCCTGACCCCATGCCTTCCATGGGAAAGGGAGGCATGTGCAAGGATTTGGGGTTCTCTACTGAGTCTTTTCCCATAATACACACGTAAGGGCAGAAAGGATTGTAGTCCCTGAATATTCTGGCTCTGGGCACAGGCCAAGAGTGGATGAGAAACAGAAAGTAGGACACAGCTCCTCCCTGTGCTGAGCTTCCTAATCTCTGGATGCTACAGGTCTGTGTTCTAAACTTTAAGAAAGTTAGAGTCTCCAGAACTGTATTAGACCAACCACATCAGAATCTCTAGAGGCGGAATCCAGAACTCAAGGCTTTACAGTCTCTGATCTTTAAGAAGATGACTAAGGGGCTGGAGAGATGGCTTAGTGGTTAAGAGCTCTGGCTGCTCTTGCAGGGGACCTGGATTTAGTTCCCAGCACCTACATGGCAGCTAACAACTGCCTGTAACTTCAGTTCCAGGGAATCTGATGTCTGGAGCTGGAGAGAGGGCTCAGCAGTGGTTGAGGAGCACTGGCTGCTCTTCCAGAGGACCCAGGTTTGGTTCCCAGCACCTACATGGCATAACTCTAGTTCCAGGAGTTTTGACAGCCTCTTCTAGCTGAGAGAGAGAGAGAGACAGACAGACAGACAGACAGACAGACAGACAGACAATGAAGCACAAGAGCTACAGCTGAGAAGGGAAGAGGAGGACTCCAAGCAGGAAAGCTACCAGATCGGTGCTGTAGTCAGCACAGGCCATCAGGCTTGGGGTGGGGACTTCACTCAGCTGAAGCCTCTAAGACACCAGATGCTGCAGGAATGTTGTTCCTCCCCAGCTCCAAATTGTCCTTTCTCTCTAGTCTACACACTTCATATTTGTCCTTCCTGGTAAAAAGGCAAGCAATTCCAGCTGATGGGTGTCTCTGGTCCTTCCTGTTTGCCTTAGAGACT